CTGCATAATTAGTATTCTCTGATCAGCCGTTTTAACAGCTGCATGGTAAGCAACAATATTGCGGTGTTGCAGAGCACGAAGGATGCAGATTTCTCGCTCTACATCATCCCACCGTTGCTGCTTTCTCAAGAGCTGCATCGAAAAGCACTTCGCTACATATCGTTTCCGGGTGGCATTTCGGGTAATCTGCTTCACGTCAGCAAATTGTCCCCGATGTACTGTGTCACCCAGCGCGTAGCCAACACTGAATTCGTTCTCATCTATGTATTTTACCTGTAAATGACCTTGACAATTTACAACAAACCATTCTGTCTTCTAATCAGCGGTTCAGTCAATCGCCGAAGAGTGTGGGACGGAGAGAAACATGGTCGCCCGTTTCATGCCTTCAAAAATTGCCAATACTCGCAGTAAGGGTCGAAATGCTTCACTCTCCTAGTTAATGGAGATTTTAGTCACGAAATATTAAGATCATTGGCGACGCGCACTGGGCGGGCCCGTGCGATCATGCGTTTTTGCAGTGTTTCATGTTGTGATAAGATCACTCGAAATCCTGTTAGCTAGAAACCTCTTATACATACTGGTCCTCGAATTTCGGGAAATTATTTATTCATGCTATATTTGGACAGGGAACATTCCCTTGAAATCCCAGGTCCCCAGCTTTCTCAGTTCCCGAGTTACCCAAATCCCTGCCAAAAACTTTCACGAGGCCGTATTTGGCAACCACGCATAACGGGGGGCTGAATTTGATAAATTTAAGTTGTAGAAAAGTTGGAAACATTTCCAGAAAGTTTCAGTCTTCCAGCTTCCCCGGCTCCGGAGTTAGCCATTTTCCCGCCAAAAATTTTCACGGGCCGTATGCGGGAAGCGCGCACACCTGGGGGTTGAATTTAAAATCTTAGAGTTCTATATGGACGGGGAACATAATCCCAAAGTTTCAGCCTTCCAGCTTTTTTGGTTCCTAAGTTAGCGATTTTCCCGCTAAAACTTTGAGGCGCTTGTGCGTGGGGTCTAGATGTGCTTGAGGATTGGTACCGCGGTCCTGGGGTGACACTTGGCTGGGGAACGCACTCGCAAAATTTTGGCGCTGGAGCTTGCTTGCGTGCCGAGTTGAAATACCCGGACAGACGCGCACACACACACACACACACAAACACACACAAACACACACATACGTACATACACACACGCCGGGGTCGTCACAATATGTGCTTTTGCATGTAT